GACGACTACCGCTACCACGAGTACTAATACTCGTACTACTACTAGTACCACTAGTAGTAGTAGTAGTAGTAGTAGTACTACTACTACTACTACTACTACTACTACTACTACTACTACCACGACGACTACCTCTACCACGAGTACTACTACTCGTACTACTACTAGTACCACTAGTAGTAGTAGTAGTAGTACTACTACTACTACTACTACTACTACTACTACGACTACCTCTACCACGAGTACTACTACTCGTACTACCACTAGTATTACTAGCAGTAGTAGTAGTAGTAGTAGTAGTAGTACTACTACTACTACTACTACTACTACGACTACCTCTACCACGAGTACTACTACTCGTACTACTACTAGTACTAGTAGTAATAGCAGTAGTAGTAGTAGTAGTAGTACTACTACTATTACTACTACTACTACTACTACTACTACTACTACTACTACTGTTACTACTAGTACTACTAATAAAATAGATCTAAGCTAAATTAACTACTACTGCTACTGTACTGGTATGTACTGGTGTGTGACGCAGACTGTTGCCCGAACGAGCCGTTGCAACAGCCTGAACCTTGGCAAGAGCAAGACAGGAAGAGCATGAACATGTTTCTGTTGAGAGTCATGGTCATGCCTCATGGCAACCGGTGTACTGTAGTGACATCAGGAGGAAAAGGAGAGTGGAGGGGAGCAGTGGCTAGAACCAGCACCACCAGCCGTGGACCTTCTAGGGCCGACAACATCATATTCAGAATTTAGACGACTGCAATGACTTCAATCTGTCTAAGAGTTCAAGGGGGGCATCAGGACTGTGCTGCTAAAGCTGGTCCGTGATGATGCTGCAATACGGAATGCAAATTGACCACTGACCTACAGTATGCAAGAGTGCTCTTACTGTCACTTGTGTCGCTGCTTTCACTAGACGGAAGACGCTCAAGGTCGCCTTTTTCTCCGTTACCTGGCTTCTCGCATCTTCGCCGCAGCATGTCGAACTGCTGGCCTTAGCAAAAACTGTTGTGTCAGCGTCACAGCGGCAACAACCGCACAAAAAGAGATATTAGAATGAAGGCAGGCCCACATTGTGCTACAGCTAATGGTAGCACGTGGGTGCCATCAACTTACTTGCAATGCAGTGGTTCGTGAGAAACGCAGGCCAAAGATTGGAGATACTTGGACTGCGACAGCGACATCTCCGCACCGAGAAAGCAGAGGTTGGCAAAGTGCTTGGGCTGGAGGAACCTGGCAATGCGAGGACAGGGATTCTCCGACTCGAAGGTCACTGCTTTAAAAGCTGGCTCTCAGCTTTATCGCAAGCACGAGTGCCCTGCTGAACTATAAAGATCGCAAGTGGCTGGTTGCCGGTGCCGAAGTCCGGAAACTTTCGTCCACATCGACGCAACCTGGGAAGGGAGATGCGTCGGCACTCCGAAAACGGCCGTTACAGCAGAGTTTATCTCACGTGGGGAACTTGACCGTCATGCCGTGCCCCTGGCCCGCAGCAGTTGCCCTCGCAGCAAACACCGTCCATGTCGCGCCGATATCCGCTGCGCGGAGAGGAAGTTGGAGCCTTGACGACTTGGCGACTCGACTGCCAACACCATGAGATGTAGCTGCTTCCGGAAGCCTCGAGAGAATCCCCCATCGTCTCATCCAGAAAGGGCCTGAAAAGCGAAAAAAACATATTGCTGACGATGTCTACAGCGTCGATTCGGCCTGTTGTCTGGTCCCCACTGTGGTCGCGACGGCGTGGCTGGTGAGGCCTGCGGAGGAACATGAGCTAGGCGAGCTAAGCTAAGTAGGTCTCAGTTGCACTATTGGAATCTATTAGAGCTTATCCTCTATCGGTGATGTTGTGGTATTGTAAAAGCAAAGGGTGGCAAGAGCAGTAAGCATGACATGCATGACGGAGCTTCGGGAGTACACGCTCGGTCATCCTGTAGCCTCATCAGCCCCGCTTACCCAATCTGCCTGTTCGCTGAAAGCACTTCCTCGCGGCGTTTCCGCGTCTTGCAGCAGCTCTTGCCTAAGAAAAAAGCGTCGGGTGTGCATGCCAGCATCTGTGGTGCTCCTGCTGATCCTACTGCTTCTTTCGATTGCTCTGTAACATGAGGAATTGCAGTACTCATGACAACTTCGAGTGCACAGAGCTATATAGTGCTGGTGGATGCTGGTGGTTTCGGAAATCCTGACATACCCCCTGACTGACCAGATCATGGCTTGGTGCGCTGCTGCCGCTGCTGCTGCTGCTGCTGCTGCTACTGCTACTACCACTACTATTACTGCTACTACTACTACTACTACTACTACCACCACTACCACTACCACTATCACTACCACTACCACGACCACGACCACTACCACTACGACTACGACGACGACGACGACTACTACTACTACTACTGCTACTACTACCCCAACTACTATGCAAAGATGGGGTCCGGGCTTCTCCAAGATCGGCCGCTCAAGAGCTGCGTCCCCAGGCGCCTCAGCCGATCAGGGCCCAGCCGGGGCCGAAAGTGTGCATACAACAGAAATAACATAAAACATAGCAGTAGCAATACTATTAGTAGCGATAATGTCAATAATTACAAGAGCAAGTTTGGCTACCATCGTGTTAAAAGCAATGGTACGAGTAACAACAACAAGAAGAATAATTCATGAGGCTACTAAACATAATAAGAGTAATGACAACAATAATAAGCATAGTAAGTTGTACAGAATCTCAAGCTGCACTGACAGCCCTGGCATCCACAGAAGGACGGCACCAACCGCATGCGGATGTACAGCAGCTCGCCCTCGAGGGGTTCCTGGAGGGCAGTGCTGCGGGAACCTTTTTGGGCTTTCGAGCTGCGCGTCAGCCGAACTGTTGAGTCTGATAGGCTGGACTGCGCCGACCCACCTCCTCACCGGGTAAGCGCTCGTACCTGATTCCGAGCCGCAGGTACGAAGAATGACCTGAGGCGTCACACAGCCGTTTCTGCAGAGATTTTGCCAGAGTGTTATGATCGAGGACACGAGTGTGTGATGGATGCTTCGCAGCTCAGGCTGCATCCCTTCCGCCACTCTTCCATCGCCAAGTGCACGTCGCGCCTGCATTCTGAATCGGGACCATGGTTCTGACCGTTTTAAGTGTTTCATTCGCTGCACCATGTCGGAGTAGACCGTGTTCCGTTTATCACTTACGTAATAGTTTCTATCATCCGGTGTGAAAGTGCGGTTCTGGGACAGCTTGCGCCCGTGACCGAAATTGCATGGCCAACAGCTATATGGAGTTTGTAAGGTATCGGGATCTGGGCAAGGACCTGTCTAGTAGTAGTCGTCGTCGTAGTAATAGTTGTTGTGGAAGAGGCAAACACTGCTGATTGTTTTACTACGACGAGGATTGCTGCTGAGCAGAAGCAGTCTTACAAGTACCAATACCTCTGCGGTGAAAACAATCTGGCAACAGCCCAGACACTAAACCTGAGACAGCGAGCAAACATTTCGTGAGACATGTGAACGCACATCGACGTCGTTGCCTCGGGTCATGCATGTCGAAGAAGGAACATAGCCGTTCCTCACCGCAACAGATTGTGGAGTCCCTTCTTCAGTTGTGCAGAGAGGAGTGTTGTTCGAAACTAGGGCCCTGCGTCAGCTCTACGCAGCTTTCCCGACAAGGGCCACCGAGTTTAACAACCACAAGCAAAGTTCAAGGTGCTTCTGAAATGCAAGGACTCTGACCATACGCAGAGGACGGTCAATCTGGCAATGTGGGAGCTTCCGAAAATAAGGGACCCTAATATAGTACCCTATATAGTAGGATCCCGATTACAAGGACCCCAGACAAAGTACCCCCCCACTATTTTCGGAAACTCCCATCTAGACTCCCTGGTAACATCGGTCAACCACGATCTTCGACCCTGCTCCTCTCTGGCAAGCTCGATGGTGTCGCGAAGTGCTCGCAAGGTCAAGCTCATGTCCTCAAGCCGCAGAAACGGGAGTTTCCGGAAATAAGGGGTACCGTCTTTTGGGGTCCTTATAACAAGGACCCTACTATTTAGGGTACTATATTGGGGTCCCCTATTTTCGGAAACCCCCTTAAATGCGTAAAATCGGTGAGGACTTGTGATCGACTTGGCTTGAGCACGGAGCAAGAAGAGCCAAAGCTTCAGGTCACAACTGCCAGTAAGACTATTATCATCCATACTCTTGATGAAATACATCTGCATTACCTTGAAGACCCTAAACTGTGGGAATTCTTTCTTATGGGTAATGAAGGATTTGTATCATCATCCATATTACGACTACCTGTCTGACCGTTGCTCTCATCTCCACGAAAAGCCATCTGTCCAAGCAAGGGCAGTTGCGTCGGTGCCCACCCTCGCAGGTTGAACATGGCAGGCCAGATGCCACAATGGTGAAATACTGTGAAAATCCGTAGCTCCAGTAAGAAGAAGCAGCAATAAAAGATGGTGAGACATAGTACGAACTCATAAGAAGTATCCAGCTAATCTACAATAATATTCATACAGAATAGTGATTGCAACATAAGAGTGAGGGAAATACCACTTAACGAGTTTCATAGTTGGAACTCGCACAATGTACGCTCAAGCAGCTTCTTCCGGGCACCACGACTGGACGGGGCTTCAAATTCTGTGCTGCAACACAATGCATCGTTAAGTCTTCTGAGTCTAGGGCCTTTTATGTTATATACTCTGTATAGCAGCCAACGATCCTCCTTGCAGTACCTATCAAGCTCTGATCCTTTACCCTTAAACCTCTAAACCTAAACCCTAAACCCTAAAGCCCTCCGCTCCTCGCAAGCGTCCGAACAAAGGATGAGTGGCATGCGCCTTCCGAGGCCGTGGCTTCACGGGTGATGCATGTCTGGGTTTAGGGCCACGGTGGCTTAGGGCTTAGGGCTGTCTCGGTTTGGGGTTTAGGGTTCAGGGCTTCCGGGGCTTCGGGCTTTAGGGGTTCAGGGCCTTTTAGGGGTTGTAGGGCCTTTTAGGGGTTTAGGGTTTAAGGGTTTAAGGCCTTTGTAGGGGTTTAGGTCTTAGGGTCTTTTCGGGGTTTAGGGTTAAGGGGGCAGAGCCAAACTCCACAGCACATGAGCCTAGGCAGAACCCACAAGAAATGCATCCAGTCGAAGACTTTCAAAGAGTACCCGATGGGAGCCCTATGTAGCAATGACATCATAGAAGCCTTCACAATTAGAACAGGGCTCTTGGTGATATTATTCTGTAGCTATATATCAGGGGCCCTTAGGGGCTATGAGGGAACACTGTTTGTAATTACTCCGGCCCCTGCATGGCTTGGAAAACTTGTCTCGCTCTCGTCCACTGCAACACGCTTGAACCTCCGGAGCAGCATCAGCACGCCCAAGCACTCGATGAGGCCCCCATCCGACAAGTAAACATACGGCGGTGGCCGCGCAGCCTGCACGGTTGAGGGTTTAGGGCCTGCGGTTTGTAAGGAAAGGAATGCGTTCATGGCCACTTTCTGATGCTTGCGAAATGGAAGTGCCTGGTGCCGATGCATGAACATCATCTGAAACTGCAGAATCAGGGGACTTCGCATGAGCCACCTGTCAGAGCACATCTCACAGCCACGGAAAAGCGTCCGAGCTCAGAGATCTATTCGGTGCCTCATCTGTGGAGCAAAAGCGAAGAAGCTCAGCACCAGCCTTGGAATGGCTGAAGGTGACGATGAAAGCTGTCGCGCATTGCATCTGAGGATGCTGCACGACCACGAACCCCGATAAGCCAATCTGTGCCAGGAGGGCGCAGAGAAAGCCGAAGAAACAAATCTAGGTTCCCCAGTAGCCCCTTAATAATATGATCGTATATAGTATTATATAATATTCATATCACATAGTATCATACCATATAATAATATGCCTCGGCCTCGTCTCTTAAACCCCGAGCTCTGGAGCCTGCAGTACGACGCCGTAGGAGAAGCAGTCGCCAGCATTGCCCAGCTGTTTCCCCAACACCAAGAGGAGGTGGCAGCCGATAAAAGGCAAGGCCACCTAGGCCACCGAGACGACCAGCGCTTCTCGAACGCATGGGACAACAGCATTATCTATATGATAATAGAATATAATCATACTATACTGTAGTCTACTATATTATACTATACTATCCTACAAAATCACATGACATATCAACAGATCTCATGATTTCGCACGGTCTGAGGTTCCGGCAATGGCACGGTCCAACATTCTCTGGGCTAGGTACTGTGCAGTCTGCCTTGGAGGGTCAAGGCATTCATCGAGCATTCCAGGCTAAGAGATACTGAGGCTGAAGCCCTAAACCCTAAACCCTACTACTAAAGATACTGAGGCTGAAGCCCATGCTGCTCAGCATGCCCTCCAGTAGAGCTATGAACGGCGGCCTCTTGAATCGGCAGTAAAGGGGATAGAGGAAACTTCCCCTTATTGAAACGGCATTTTAGGGTTTAGGGTTTTAGGGTTCATAGGGTTTAAGGGTTTGGGGTTTTGGGGTTTAGGGTTTTAGGGTTTAGGATTTAGGGTTTAATGGCATTTTACTGAAACTTCTAGCAGCCCTTGTGAAGAATTGTTCACAAGCAGAGAGAAGGGCACACATGGGGCAACCCGGCAGAGCGGCGGCGCCTCCTCCAAGCGACGAACTGTTCTGCCCACCTTTCACGGATTTGTGGGTTTCAGGCCGTTTAATACTGGCTTGGCACTCCGGTTTTGGGTCTTTTCTGCGCTCTGCGAAAGCTCCGCGCTCTGTGCAGCGAACTGAGCGACGGGGCTTTGATGGCCACTTTGCCGTCGGGCTCCAACCTGACCTGAGACAGTGAGAAGCATCAACCAGCCCGAAGCCGTCAAAAACAATCAGTCATAAGAGCTATAAGAAATAGTCACAATGGACAACACAAATAAATAATTTATGATCACACTCCAGAAAACCACCATGAGATCGATGCGGAGGAAGACCTGGGCCTGGATTCTCCTTGCAGCCAAGGGACAAAGTCACCCAAGCGAAGCGAGAAGACAGAAAGAACAAAGCGGATGGGAAGCACCTGCCGAAGATGAGCTCGGAGTTTCGGGTAAAGGTCATTATGGGGGTTTAGGGCTTAGGGGTTTAGGGTTTAGGGGTTTAGGGTTTAGGGTTTAGGTCATTATGGCCCTAAAATCTTTAGGGTTTGGCGGGTTTGGCTGCCACACCATTTGGAACATCTCGCAGCTATAGAGCAAAAGAGCTCTCTGACTCTGCAGCGGGGGCGGCACGTCAAACTTGGTGAGCATGAAGGTGTCAGGTGCAGCCTTCAAGGGCGTTGTAACTTATGACATCCAGCGATAGTAGCTACCAGTAGTTCGTGGGCAGAGTGCTGACAAGAACTACAGTACTTCATGAATGCTGCTTCTATTGGATCCGCTATTACCAGTGCAACTCCTCCTCCTCCTCCCCCTCCTCCGCTTCTACGACACGACTGCGACCGCAACTGCGACGACGAAGATGATGATTACCTATACTGTACTGCCACCTCTGCTACCCCTACTGCTACTACCTGCGACTGCTCCTGCAACTACAACAACTGCTGCTGCTGCTACTACTGCTACTCCTACTGCGCTTCTGCTACTGCTTCTGCGCTGCTGCTGCGACTGCTGCTCTTACTACTACCCCTACTGTACTACTACACCTTCTACTCCAACTGCTCCTACGACTACTGAACTGTTACTGAAATACTTCTGTAGACTACTACTACTACTACGACGACGACGACCACCACCACCACCACGACTACTACTACTACTACTACTACTACTACTACTACCACTGCTGCTGCCGGCAGGCTGCTACGACATCTGTAGTAACAAGACACAGGCAAGCATGCTCGTCTCAGCAGCCAGCCGCGGAGACGGACATTGCATAGCCAAGCCTTGCGAGGGAGCCACGGCTGAGAACCCTTCAGAGCAGCTACCGATCATCAGTTCTCATGGCTCACGTCGAGGGCCCTATCGGCTTGTGAGACTGGACATCGTGATCGGCTTGCCTCATCCCGGAGTCCGTACAAAAGAAACCTGGAGAGCACCGCATGCTTTCAGGCGCACGGAGGACTGAAACAGCCGTGGCCTGTGCGTGGGCAGCCCAGATATAGAGGACTGAGTGTAAAATCGCAGAGGAGCTTCTCCTGATCAATCGGCCACAAGTGTGGCAGCATAAACTGAACCTCTTACAGAAGCCTAAATCATCTAAATTCTGAACCCCGACACCCCATGAACCCCATACGCCTCCCAGACCTGTAATCCCAAATCCTGAGCAGTCCTCTTGAGGCGTTCTGAAGTCATTAACACACGCCCCCAGCAAAAGATGGGGACAGTATGGACCTCAGGATTCTTCAGGTGGCATGAAAGCTCAGAGCTACGGCTGGGCATGCATGCTTAACGTTGCTTCTTCGGCTGCGATGGACACCTGGAAGAGGAACTCTGGCAACCATCGTATGCAAGCAATCTTTGTCATGTCAACTCCGACGATCACTGGCATCGAAAAGCGCTGAGATTCAGACACTCTGCTGTGGCAGTGAAGTCAATGTCTTCGCCGTCACAGAAGTAGGCCAACTGGTGGGCTTCACACGAGCAAATGTGATGAAAGAAAGCGCTTCCCGCCCTAGCAAGCCTGCAAGGAACGTCGGTAGTAGGAGTGCATGAGCTTTATTAGCATATCCTCGGCTGCAACATGCGTCAAGCTTCGACGATCGCACGGTCATCTGATTCTTGGACCCTGACATACACCGGAAGCGTTAGCACGGCACCGAATATGCAAAGGTGGAACACCTCGTAGCTTGATCGTTGCCATGGATCTTGGGTTTTGGTAAGTAACCGCAGGGAGATCGAGCGATCGCGATGCTTGCGGCGTATGGTCATTCAAAATACGCCAAGCTCTGCAAAGCTCCAGAAGCATCCGAGAGCCACACCCATGAACTGTCGGTCTCCGTAAAGCGCCTGCTTCTCCATGCGTTTGCTTCAGCTAACGACAAAGTTGCAAAGCAACTCATGGCAACCATGACAGCAGCACAGCAGGCCCGGAGCTATCAGAGCCTGGGAGGTGGTGGAAAGCTTCACCACAAGTGAGCCATGAGGCTTTTCTTATTATTCTTATTGTTCGATTCTTATTCTCTTAAAATTGCTACCAGCATTGCATTGTGCTCCTCTTCTCGTTATCATTATGTGTATGGTTGTGACTGTAGCACTAGCAAGGCCAGAGGCAGACACCTGCCCTGTGAGCGGGCCGAAGATTTGCCACTGTGCCACCTTGAGCGAAGAAGTCAGCACTGCAGCTAATCGGAAAAGTAATGGCAATAGGAATAGTAACTGTAATAGGAAAAGGAATAGTATTCGCAACAGGAATAGTAATGGTAATCCTAATAGGAATAGTTCTTGTCACAGTGATAGGAACCGTAATAGTCATAGTGATACTAACTAACAGTAATAGTAATAGTAAACACTCTGCACGGAGTCCTGCCTGAGCCACGAAAAAAGCACTCCACAGGGGCCCAGCCACGGTGAGGTACCTGGTTCTGTGCCAGAAGAAGCTGCCTTTACAGACCACCGGCACAATTCGGCGCACCATCGCAACAGGGAGAGCCCGAAGAGCAGCCCAACCCTTGGAGAGCCAGGCAGTCTGCGCAGTCTATCCTGTCTGCAGCAGCACTATCTGCAATATAACAAGTTGTCGTCGTCGGGAGAAGTATAGTAGTAGTAGTAGTAGTAGTAGTAGGCTTAGCTGGATCCGGACCTGTATCTCACTACCGGTTGCGCTGCCCGTAACTCTGTTACTCGTGATGATGCTGAGCACTACTCACGTTGCTTATGATGCTACTGAGGAAGATGACTAGTTGTGATAACGAATACCAGATGATGCTGATGGTGATGATGAAGGAGGCGGAGGAGGACAATGACGGTGCCTGCTGCCCTGCTATCAATACTGCCTCAGACAGAACCTAAGCAGAAGGCAAGCCAGCCGCCAGCACGATGCCATTGATAGCTAGAAACCTGGCGCGAATGGGAACTAAACAGCATGCGTGGCACGTGGCCTCCTCCACTGCACTAGCAGGCGAGCCAAAGCTAGGAAGGGCACATCGGTGTGGTGTACCCCGTGGCGCCACAGGGATCAACACCTCATCAGCTGGCTCGCTTCTGCCAGTATATGACTCCAACCTCATCCCTGACACTTGAGTTTCGTGCCAGTTGGGCTTCCAATCTTTTGCGCTGCCACCCAGGTCGCATTCATGTACAAGCTGTTCTCCCCATGAAAGTACCTCCCGCACTGCAAGGTGCTCGTGAGATCTGCACCACCGGATTCCGGAGCTCAGCTCACCAAGGCAGATCGTTGGAAGTCTCGTAGTCCACGCAAGTGGGCGATGTGGCAACAGAGTGAGTTATGTACCTCCGGCAGGTCGCTTGTAGCACCCGAAATAGATAGTACAGTACTAATAATGATAACAGTAACCATAGTAACAACAGTAACCACAAAATAATAGCAATAAATACTGATGTTATCTTCTTCTGCTAGAAAGATAGACAGGCGTCTCCCAGTCTCGCACCTCCAGCAGTAGAACTGGACCCACTCGGCGCCATGACCGTGGCTTATGTCTGGCAGAATGCCACGAGTGCCCCAGGAGAGGTTCTGCATCTGCGCCGGTGAAACACAGAAAGGAAAGTGAATTCAAGCACCAGGGCAGCTAAAGGCACCTCCAACAGCACCCAAGGTACGCAAAGATAGATGGTATAACAGATCGCTCCTGTGCTCAGGCAGGGGAGCGCCTAAATCTCAGATGACGACCGCCTACAGCCAAAAACAGGGCAGGCCTCGCAGCAAAACCTTTCAGATTTCGATCTCTGTGGCTCCGGATCCCAGTGGTATGCGAAGAGAGATTCTCCCCCTGCCTGCTGCAAGGATCGCCTTAAAAGGTGTGGCCAGTATCGTCCAGGCCTAGCAAGCAGCAGCTCTTTTTAGGGTTTAGGGGTTTAGGGTTTAGGGTTTAGTGTTTTAGGGGTTCCAAACCAACGCAGACCCGGGGTATTCTTGCTGTTTGATCTATCCTTGATTCAGACACTACCACTGCTGCCAGGACAAAGTGCCATTCCTCCTCTGGGGAGGTGCACACATGTGCCCCAAAACGTTCCACCTATTCTGAAGTCTTTTGCCCTCTATGGCGACTATACAGGCCGCGAAGCATTGAAACATCCACCACTCGTTTCCAACTCACGGCTAGGAAAGGGCCCAAGATCATTTCTTCCGTCAGCCTGGTGGCTTGAGCCCAATCGACTGGTTCTGTGGTTTAGTGCCGAATACCTAACGAATGTCCTGCACCCCAACCAACGGGACCCAAGTCTAGACTCCTTGGCCTAGTAATTTATGGGCAGAATGCCACCTAAACCGTAAACCCTAAACCTTGGGTACTGCCCCCATACAGTAACAGTCTTTAATAGGGCTACCATTAAGGGCCTATTATATCCATAATATGAATATTATCCAACTGTTACTGAGTGGGGCCTAAACCCTAAACGAACCAGGGCCTGGGTCCCGAAAATTCCAGGGTTTCTATCGCCTGCTGCATGAGAAATCATACATCAAGGGCTCCCGTGCACAAAGACAGGTTGTTGTTAAGCTCTCTAAGCAAAGACATCTGCTTCAGAACACAGAGAACTTCGGGTTCAGGACCTCTACAGTTTGCAACGTATTGGGTTCTATTCTGTTACGATATACCATGTCATCCTATGTTCGAAAATATTATGTTACATATTGGTGCACTTTATATGCTACATCTTCCGGCGGTTGTACTATGTATTTTAAATATACATGTTGTATCATATGTTGTATAGTGCGTGATATACTTATATATATATATATATATACACCGCTCAATATAACATGTTATATATACGTGTTATTTTGCAACCTATATTATATATATATATATATAGATGTATACATGTATATACGCATATATTGTTCTGTACAATAAGTTGTATACAGCAGACAGTAGATTGCATAGAATATGTATGTATACATGTATGCATAGCAGCTTTGAAAATAAATGTCTTGCATTTTACTCTTTATTGTACGTCATAGGTTATATGTCATATGCTATATGTGGCCTGTGATCATATACTGATAACAACTTATTACAAGGTAATGTTGTGTTACATCATTTCTGTTATCTTTAATTGTACTAACATATACTATGGGAGATTATACCAGCCTCGACCCCAAACAGCAAGTGGGAGAC